AAGCGTTCCCCGTTCTGACCCTCCTCCTTTGCAAACCGGTCATCAAAACAGAGGACAGGAAGTCGGGGTTGCCAACAGAAGCTGGTGGCACCTGAATGCTGGCCGTCCACGAAAGCTTCCCAGGAAAGTTCTCGCCACAAAGCCTTCCTCCGGCCCTCTCTTAGCCTTGTCCGCTCAGGCCAGCCGAAGAGCAAAGAACTATTTTTATCAGCCTTGCCAAACTAGTTGATACCCACTAGGCCTGCTGTGCAACAAGATCCCCATGCTCCTAGATGGGCTGGAAATAAACCAGACATAAAACTCTGTTGCATCACTCTGTGTGTGTGTGTGTGTGTGTGTGTGTGACAAAATGCTGAGTCACAGGCAGCTCTTTCGTTTCCAGATCTCAACAGTACCAGCGTCATGGAAATACCCACGCTCTAGGGTGCCAGAAGTCCCTCGGCCCTGCCAGGCATCCCCCAACAGGAATAGCACTTAAGGTTTATATACCCTCTTCGCAGCCCTAAGCGGTTTACAGAATCAGCCTTTGCCCCCCCCCCCCCCCCAAAACAATCTGGATCCTCGTTGTACCGACCTCGGAAGGATCAACCTTCAGCTGGTCAGATCGAACTCGATCGAACTCCCGGCAGTGGGCAGAGTGAGCCTGCAGTACCGTGTTCTAACCACTGCGCCACTTGTGGCTCAGCCTCCTCACCATGTCTGACTGACTCCCAAGCAGGGCCACCGAATTACCCGCTCAGCTCAGGCCTGTCTCAACTGTCCCACCCCCGGCTGGCCTGGACAGGTCGGTCAATGCCGTCCGCCGGGGAGCCCTCTTGGGGTTTCGTTCCGCTCTCCGTGAATGCAGGAAGTCCCCGAACTACGCCTGACTTCTTTCAGGAAGCCCACCGTGATCCACGCCGCTGAAATAGCTCGATTCAGAGGCCTCGCAGAGCCGCTGCCAAAACAGCTCGGCTCAAAGACCATCCATCACCTCTCTCTGGGACGATGCCATCGCACTAAAGCTCCTGGAAACCTCTCCTTTCTCCACCGAGAGCTCCAACGGCTATTTATGGAAAGGAAAACCTTTCTCCGCATCCTTCAGTGATAAAAACCAAACCAAATCTCAGCAAATGTGACTTTTCCAGGTGATCCCGGGACGTAGCAGGTACCGGGACGTGATCCTATGACCCTCTGAATGCTTCCCAAGGCCTGGCAAGCACAGGGGGGCTCAGGCTCTCCTGGAGGAGTCTCTCTCTCCTTCTCTCTCTCTCTCTCCTTCTCTATTTCCTTCTCTCTCTCCTTCCTTCTCTCTCCTCTCTCCTCCCTTCTCTATTTCCTTCTCTCTCCTCTCTCCTTCTCTCTCTCTTCTCCCTTCTCTCTCTCTTCTCTCTCTCCTCCTCTCTCTCTCTCTCCTTCCTTCTCTCTCCTCTCTTCTCTATTTCCTTCTCTCTCTCACTCCTTCTCTCCCCCTCCTCTCTCTTGGAGGAGGCAGGAAAACTTAACCCTTTTCGACCATGTTATGAACGAAATCAAGCTGCTTCCTCTTCCCACTGGGATTTCTAAATTACAGGCAAAACATTTTGAGGAAGGTGAAGAGGACAAACAGCTGGATTACTTATGTAAATTTACCCATTTAGAGCAGAGCTTCCTAAACATTCTAGCAACTTTGGGATGGGGGGGTGGGAAAAAAAAAATCTGGGTTGGGCTTGTCTTAAGCCTAGCAGGACAAATTACTCTGGGCTTTGATCCCGCTTTTACCCATGGCAGCCTGCTGTGAGACTACAACTTTTTCTCTTAAAAACGATTGCAAGCAAGCGATGGAAGCGCTAGTTTTATTGGGGAGGGGGGGGGAATGGGGATGACTACGCTTCCCCCTAACTCTGATTTAAAGCAATTAGCGAAGCGTACATCTCAAAGGCTCTTTTTTCTTTTAACGAGGGGACACAGATAAAGGCGCAGAGCCCGAAAAACTGGTAGCTGAGATTTCTGCAGAAAGTCAGGCCAGAGATTTAGCAAAGCACTTTTTGATACTGTAAATCGGGGCGGGGGGGGGGGAGGTAATTATCCAGAAGCCGAAATCCCCACCACGGAGCACCTCCCTTCGCTGTTCCTGCCAGCTCCTGATTAGCATTAAGGGCCGCCAGACCTTCCCTCGCCAAATTACCCGAGCCTTTCTATTACTTTACACAAGTTGGGAGGGAACTTTTGTCGGAGCAACTTTGGAAAAGGCAGCTGAACTCCCAAACGCTCGAGGCGGCCCGTGGCTTCCCTGGGTTTCTGGATTGGGAAACTGGCTTAACCCAAGCAGGCTTCCTACCCGCGGCTCCCTACGGCCAAGAAAGCAGCTTTCCATCCGCCAACGGATTTCCTGCCACCAACTGGACTGCCAGCCCCAACGGGGGAGGAAGCCCACTCTATTTTCTGGCATGGCAGCAATGGGATGAGCAATGAGGAGGCGTTTTTCCCCCCCTTTCCTCAGAGATCTCCCACAAAAAGGGGGAAAGGCTGCAAAGGATGGGCGCCTGGGGTCCCGGAGGGCGCGCAGAGGATACGTACGCCGGTTTTCTTCCAGGACGTTTCTAAGATTCATTCGCTTAAGGCAGTCTTTTTTGAGCAGCAAACAAGGTCCAGTTTGCGCCATCAGCACTTTTCCCTGCTCGGTCCCTGAAAGGGCTTCTTCGCCTTCCAAGTTCTCCTTTGGGGAGCTCGGAACCGAGGCCGGCGGGAACAACGGAGAACCCACCAGGTCGAAGGAAGAACCGGCTCTCGCCTGGACGGTTACCGCCAAGGCCGGGGAACGCAACCAGCCCCCCCTCTTCCGTGGAGAAAGGACTCCCCCCCCCACCTCAGAATTTCATGGGGGAACCTCTGGACTTCCCAAGGCAAAACAGGCAACTAGAGGCCTCCACCGGCCCCAAAGGCCGACCTCTCCTCCGTATCCAGAAGTTAACACGGTTTGCATAAGGAACATCTGCACGGGGTCTGCAGGAGGGGTGTGTGGGTGTGTCCACACGACAAAACCCGAGACCCGGCTGGTCCAGCGGGCATCACTGGACCCTTTTTTTTTCTTTTTTTTTTTTTTAATTTCCTCTTGTGACTCACCATCCCACATCCCAGAATCCTTTGCACCAGTTCCCTTGGATCTTCAAAAAGACTGCTGGCTCTTGGGTGGGGTGGGAAGCTTCTGTCCCTCCTCCCTCCTGGCTGCTGGAGCGAGAGTGAAAGAGAGTGAAAGAGAGTGAGAGAGAGAGAGAGAGAGTGGAAGGAAGAGAAAGGGAGAGAGAGAGGAGGAAAGCGACAGGGGGCAGAGAGAGAGAGCAAAAAGGGCAAAAGGAAGACGGGCAACAGGGGAAGTTCATCCTTTCCCCTCCAATTGCGTTCCAAGATCGGGGAGCGGGGGGGCTCTACACATCCTGGGAGGGGGGGGGCTCTCCTTCTCCTTCTTGCCAACTACTAAGCACAAAGAGCGCATCCAGCTTTCCAGGAGCAGTTTCCCCCCCTTCTCCTCTTCAGCCTGGGAATGATCCCAGCACAGAGCGGGCCACTTTCTACTTAACAGGACCCCACCAACTGTCTTTTGGACCCCAGGTGCCAGAGTCATCTCCCCCCACCCCCAATAACCCCCACCCCCACTACAGGAAGCCCAGCTTGTCTCTCAACTGCTGGGGGGACAGGGCCATTTCCTAAAGCGCCTATCGGCAGACGCAACCCACCACCCCGCCATTCTCCAAGAAGCCATCCGCTTGCTCTCGAGCCCGATGGGGTCTGGTGGGGTAGGAAAGGGGCAACTGAAGGCGTTGAGACGGGCCATTTGGGGGGACAGACCCTATCACTTCCAGAGAAATGGCAAGAGGGAAGAGACCCCATCAGTCGACCCGAGACCAGAGGGCTCAGAAACCTTCCTGGGATCAACTCGCCAAAGCATCTGCAACGGAAACCGGCACAGCACTGACTTTAACGCCAATAACAGCAGGTCCAGGCAGTCCTCAAATTACCCACGTTTCCCCCGAAAATAAGACCCAATCTTATATTAATTTTTTTGCTCCGAAAAGACGCATTGGGGCTTATTTTCCAGTTAGGTCTTCTTTTTGAGGAAATACGGCTCCAAATGTGTCCGTCTGGCTGACAATCTTAAGTGAGGCTTATTTTGAGGGGTAGGGCTTATATTACGAGCATCCCCCAAAATCACACTAGGTCTTATTTTCCAGTTGGGTCTTATTTTCAGGGGAACAGGGTACATCAATTGGTTTAGTGACCGTTCAAAGTTACAACGGCACCGGAAAAAAAAAATGTGACTGAGGACCATTTTTCCCGACTTTTCCAACCCCCCTCCCCAGAGTCATGGGATCAATGTTCAGAGGCTTGGCGAATCGCTTCCTATTTATGACCATGCCCCCCCCCCAGGTCGCATGATCCCCTTTCGTGACCTCCCGACAAAGCAAAGGGAATGGGGAAGTCGGGCTCCCTTAACAAGCGGGCTACCGACTTATGGGCTGCAGCGATTCACTTAACGAACGGCGGCAAAGAAGGTCATAAAACGGGGCAGAGCTCGCTTAACCAAACGTCTCGCTTAGCAACGTAATTTTGGGGGCTCCGTTGTGTCTGTAAGTCGAGGGCTACCTGTAAATTTCTCCAGCACATTTAGGAAAGTGTCCTAGAATGAAAACAACAATGACCCCCCCGCAACATCCCACTCTGGAGCCGACCCCACAACTGCGGGGCAAGCAAGGGCGGCAGAGGCCTGACACGGGAAGGGAAGGAGGGGTAGAGGAGAGAGAGAAAGGCAAGATTAACCATTATTTGGACCCAGGAACAAAGAAAAGCGCCCTTTACTGACAACCCGCCGACCAATGGGGCAGGCCTGGGTGGGGGGGGAAAAGGGTGCCCCCTGGTCTCAGGTTAAAATTCGACCGGAGGGAAGGAGCCAAGTAAATCGACTCCTCTTCCCAAAGGCCGGGCCAGCCGCTTGGTTCAGATTAGAAATCAGGAGAAACGAAATTAAGGGGAAAGTAGCTTTGGGTGCTCAAGAGAGGGTCGTGCAGTTTTTTCCCAGCTACATTTGGGGAGGGGGTGTGCTGGCCTGTGGGCAACCAACGCAGCCAAGGAGAGGGCCTCTGCTTGACACAGCGGCCGGTTCCAGGACCTTCTTCGGGAGCTACCGCTGTTCGCTTAAGTGGCACAAGACTAAACTAGCCTGCTTCTTTCTTCCCATTCGTTAATCTGTCCTAGTGGCCTGCCAAGCTCACTGTTGCGGGCTCTGAAGTTAAACATGCTCCCCCCCCCAAAAAAAAGGCACCCCCACGGGAGCCATGGCTGTAGTGAGAGACGAAGGCCTGCATGACACCAGCTCAATCCTCGGGGTCCAAACTCCAGCTGGGAAGACCAGAGCCGCTCAACCCGTTCCGAGGGGAATCTGTGCCATCCTGAACCAGCAAGCAGGGCTGCTCAGCGCTGCCTCCAACTTTCATCGGGCCTCGGTTTACCCTAAGTTGCCGCCGCTGCTGCTTTTGAAGGCGCTAACCGTTGCAAGCCTTCCTCTCTCTACTCTTTTTCTTGAGGGGGGGGATGGCTTCTGACAGGAGGCACGTACAGAGAGGGGATCAAACCACCATCTGTTAGCCAAAAGGAAACCTTGAATAAAACAAGTTTTTTTTGGGGGGGGGGGCGATGAGAGGGAAATGCTCCCTAAACAATCCAGCTGGGGTTGGGGGGATTTGGGGGGGGGGTTTCTCCTCGCACCTGACCCTGGCCATTCAAGAGGAGCAGCGCCCCGCCAGTGGAGGCATCGGGCCGGTCTTCCCCCCTACCTCCCATGCCCAACCTGACATTACACACACACCCAGGTTTGGGGAGGCCAGCTCAGATCCCCGAAGGAGAAGCTGCCGATCTTACCTGAGTGAGTCCAGGGGAGGAGGCATGTCCGGGGGGTGTGGCGGCAAGGGCCGGATGCCCCTTGTTTATTTCATGAGCAGAGTAAGGGGAGGGGGCAGGAGGGCCCGGCTGTCTGGCCACCTGCGTAACCTGCGAGGAGAGAAGCTGTTGAAGTGAAACCAAAGCGGAGCAAAACACCGTCTCTCCGCGGAGTTAAGCACCTCTGGCGATGGGGACCCCATTTCTTGGGCTCCTCGGAGCAGCTGGGAAAAAAAAAACCCCGCTCCGCTGATTTATGTTAGTGGATCTGGCTCCAGGGAGACTCCCGGGATCCTGTTCGATCCTAGGAAGAAGAAGAGCCAAGTCTCTAATGAGCTGCTTTCACCCGACAAGAGGAAAATGTAAAGTCTCTAAGACAGAAAAGGCACGGAGGAAAAAACTCCCCGTCTCTTTCAATGGTGCTGGATATTTTCTTCACAAAGACACACACACACACACACACACACACACACACACACACACGGCCCTCAGTGGAGACGAGCCAGCCCACCTGGGTGGAAGCCTGAGTGGGCCATGGCTGCGAGGAAGTGAGCAAACGGACAAACCCTCCACAGAAAAATCCCCCAGAAAGGGATTCTCACCAATCTTGGCTAAACTGAGATGATCCATGATCAAAACCGAGGCTTTAAGATAAAAGACCGGGACACATCGCCCTGTCTGCCATCTAATTAACATCTCGGCTTCAAAGGCAGCCAAGCAAAGCTTGCTCTAAAGAGGACAGCGCCAGATTATCAACTTCTTTGATCAACCCTTAGGTGGGAGAAAGCGGGCTCTCCTTCCCTTGGCAGCCTGGGGGTCTTTAGCTCGAAGGAGCTGCCCTTTCCTGGGGGAGGACTCCTCTTCACAATTAGAGGGAGCCCCCAGCAAAGCCCATCGTCCCCAGCAACCCTGGTCTGGCTCCATCCTTCAGGCTATCCCGGGGGGAAGGCAGGGCAACCTCTGGCGATGTTAGTTTGCACCCGATGTGAACTAGAAAGGGCGCCTGCGTATTTTGGGGGTCTTCCTCCCACCCCCCTTTCCACGTGATGCCTTCCCTCTTAACAGGATGCAGTTCTGGGCTGCATTCCATTCTCAAATTATCAACATTGATCATTTTACTTTCTGTCTACAAGGAAGAGAGCAAAAGGCCTTTCTAACGTTTGTTACTATATTTATACTTCTCCAGTAAAGAAACGTCTTCCATTTGGGAAATACTGGCTACTAGTTGAAAACCCAAACCAATGAGTACTGCCTACCAGACAAACCCCCGAGAGTCCAGGGTGAACTTTCAAACAAGTACAGCACCCTGGTCTCTGGATGCAAGTAAGGAAAGCTGTGCTGAGTTTTTTGTTTTTTGTGTAATTTGCACACACTTTCCCATCAGCAGTTTCACTTAACCCGCTCTAAGAGAAGTATTAATTGGAAAAACAAAACAAAAAGAAATGTTGGCAATTACACTTATTCCTACCCAGCTAGTTTCTTTGCCCTGATGCCGATACACTTTCTTAAAAATGCAGCATTTCCCCAGGCTCAGCAATGGCTCCGAGCAAAATGGACTGGCCTCCTGACCCACATCTTTCCCAGGAAAAGGACCGTGGCCGGAACAGCCTTCCTAATCCCTCTTCCTGGTGGGAATGGATTCTCCCTGCAAGCAGGAACTTGGGACGTCTGCCCCAGTAGGGCCCTGGGTTCAAGAGGAAGGTGGGAGTCCTTTCTCCTCTGGCTCTTCCCTTCCTGGAGAGCCTCCCGCTGATCCTCCTCCCAAACTCAAAGAGATCTCCTGTCTTTCGTATCGTTTATAAACGCTTGACAAACGATCTTTTTGACTTTGGGTGGACTGACCACCCAAAGACCATATCTTTAGCACAGCTAATTCCTACTCGATCCCAAGGGATCCAGTTCTGTGGGACACCCTGACAAGAGAGGGGAGCTCAAAGAATGGCATGAAGCAGGCATCGCTCTCCAAAAGTTGGAGGGACCAGAGAGGCTGGATGAAGAGAGCGATTCAAATCGCTTCCTCCAACTAACAAAGAGTCCGATTCTGAATTACTCTCCTGTCTTTCGTATCGTTGATAAACGTTTGACAAACGATCTCCCCCCCCCCCCGATTCTGAGTTTTACCTGAAGGGGAAGGCCTACTGCTGAACCTGCCAGGTGTCCAGGTGCTCATTCTCTGCAGGAGGAAGGTGAGGCTCCTCTCAACTCACCTGAGCTTCCCCCCACCAACACACACACAAAAGCCTCTTGGCAAAAGCTGCTGGCGTGTTCTCCTTACCGTGCTGTACACAGCCGAGACGGTGGGAGTGAAGATCCGATCCTCCAGGGGCTGCTGTACAGGACCCCGGGGGATTCTGCAAAACAAGTTAAGGAAGAAAAAGGAAGAAGAAGAAGAAGAAAAAAAACAACACCCACAAAACTGAAGGAAAAGTTATGTTTTCTACCAACGGCCTTTTTTTCTTTCTAACGAACTTGGCCTCTTAATCAGGAGAAGCCAATACTGCAAACTGTGAGATCCACACACAGGAGCCAGAACGATGGTTCCTGCAGGGAAGAAGAGTTCCTGCATACCAGTCGATGGGATAACGAGAAAGTCACAACCGACGGGAAGATGAGAACTCAACATTATTTATTTGGGAAGTAACGCAGTCACAGTCTCCCTCCCAGTTGCCTGACACATTCTGCCAAGGGCACAGAAACAGAGCGTGCACTTCCTCACTGGCGTTTTTCGCCACCCTTTTGTGCTCCTAACGGTTCTGGGAAACTAGAATTAATTTAATAAGCGGACAAACGTGCCATTAAACCCGCTGCCTCAGATAAAACTATTAAAACTGCCGTCACAATCCAGAATAGGCCCCCTCTGAACTGCAGGTAAATGGAGCAGGAGGATCCTTTTCAAAGCCCCAGTTGTGGTTTCAGGAAAGAATCAACGGATCAGATTCTAGGGAATTTTATCTGCTGCTTGTTAAGATGCTGGTCTCCCTTTTAAAGATTGCCTGGGACTCGCTAACCAGGGGTTCAGAGGAGATTCTGCAGGCTTCCCCCCACATTCTTGAGAATCACACAAGAAGCTACACAGCCAACACAGAATGCTTTGATCGGACCAATCTAGGTAAGCAGCCGGTGAGCCAGGCGAAAACACTACGTGAGGGAGAAAGATCCCATCTTGTTCAAAAGCACCAAGGATCCAAAGATCAAAGTTGTCCTTTCGGCTTCTGGACAGGAGAAGCCTCAAAGCTAAAAGTATAATAGCCATAGCACTAAAGACTTACATACCGGTTCACAGTGCTTCCCAGCCCTCTCTAAGCGGTTTATAGAGTATATTGCCCCCAACAATTTGGGTCCTCATTTTACCCACCTCGGAAGGATGGAAGGCTGAGTCGACCTTGAGCTGGGGAGAACAGAACTGTTGGTAGTAGACAGAGTCAGCCTGCAATACTGCATTCTGACCATTGCACCATCACAGCTGATAGATAGATAGATAGATAGATAGATAGATAGATAGATAGATAGATAGATAGATAGATAGATAGATAGATAGATGTGGCTCTTAGACTTATATACTGCTTCACAGTGCTTTACAGCCTCCTCTGTCGTTTTAAAGGCCAGAAGGCTAGAAGGCTCCACCTTGAGCCTGGTGAGATTCGATCAGCCAAATTGCAGGCAGTCAGCAGAAGTAGCCTGCAGTACTGCACTCTAACCATGGCGCCACCATGGCTCATAATAGACATCAAGCAGAAGACAAATGTTGCCCACAGCTACCCATGCCTGTTAAGCCTAGAAGAAGAAGAGATGGCCATGGACGCCACAAAATTAACACAACAAACCTTGCGGTGTTCTCTTTCCCCGTACTTCCTCAAGTTATGGAGAGTAAACTTCTTAGCTTTCCAAAACTACAGAGTACAGGTAGTCCTCCATTTACGACAATCCACGTAGGGGCCGTCCAAACTGACAACGGCATTTGGGGGGGGGGGAGTGACTGTCCATTTTCAACACTTACAGCCTTCGCAGCCACCACCACCACCATGTTCACGTGATTTACGTTCAGATGCTTGACCACTGACTCCCATTTATGACGGTCACTGTCCCGGGGGCAGGGGGTGGTCTCAATTTGCGACCTTCCGACAAGCAAAGCCCGTGGGGAAAGCCAGATTTGCTCCACGACCGCGTGACGGGTTTAAAAGTCATAAAATGGACGCAAAACTCACTTAACGGATTTAATCTCTTAGGAACTTAAATTTCGGGGCTCGATTGTGATCGCCGAGAACCACCCTGTACACAAAAACTTCCTAAAAGCTCCGTGTGAATCAGGGCCATCTACAAACCTCCCTCGGGGGGGGGTGGTACCTCCACAGGCCAACTTGGATTAACAAACTTAGGTTGCCAAGATCCCGAGACTCAGAAGAGGGGGACCTGCACAGGGAGGGGATCAAAGCATCACCCCCGTTCAGCCAATGCCATTTTCTCGGATTTAATCCTTTTAATCATTGTCCACTGACAGCCTTCCCAGGAAAATTCAGCACAGGGACAGCTGTTATTGACACCACTGAGGAGAGAGCGGGGAGCAATGTCGCAATTTGGGGGCATGCAATACCGCCCAGCAAGCAAAGAGAATCGCTCTTTTGTTCCTCCAATTTGTAGCCCTAACAACAACAACAAAAAAAACCTCGATGGGCATTAAATACACACGTTCCCCGTTTAAAATGTAAATACAGATTTGGAGGAGGTGGGAGAGAGACAGAGAGACAGAGACAGTAAAAAGTTTTGGAAAACTCACCTAACGCACATTGCCTCGCGGAGAATTCGGATGTATGCGTCGAAAAACCCACTTCCTTGTAGAACCGGGAATATCTCAGCCTCAGCTCGTAAGCTTTCCTCGATCCGTGTGAGGTCTGTTTCTCCCAAACAATCCCACGGGATGTCCAACCGATTTAGAAAACCCCATTATCAGCCACCAGCTCCTTGACTAAACGGCAGTTGCCGACGTCTGAGTGGAAACCTGAGCTGACAAACAGGCATATGTCTTAAAAATAAAAAAAGCCCATCATGTGACACGTCACAGCCCTGAAAGAGATCGACCGGTGACACAGCAAAACACGTGCGTTCTGCATGTTGAAATGCAGACACATGATACCAATATGTTAAAGTTTGTGATCTCAAGGGGGAAAAAAAATAAACCGAGGTAAACAAAGCTGACTCTTTTTTTTTCCCCAGAACTACTTCTTCTTTTTTCTTTTTAATATTCTTCCTGTACAGGCAATCCTCAGCTTACGACCACAATAGAGCCCAACATTTCTGTTGCTGAAGCGAGACGTTTTTGCCGTGTTTAGCGACTTTTCTTGCCACGTTTTTGTTAAAGAGAATCGCGGCCGAATAAACCGGCTGGGCGGTGGAATCTGGCTCCCACCAACACCACCATGGGCTTATCTTGTCAAGAAGGTCGCAAAAGGGGATCAGTCGTATGATCCAGGGACCCCGCAACCGTCATAAATGGGAGTCAGTGTCCAGCGTCCGAAGGTCAAATCACGTGAGCATGGGGATGCTTCAAAGGTCGCAAGTGTGAAAAATGGGCGTAAGGCAGAGGTCTCCAAACTTGGCAACTTTAAGACTTGTGGACTTCAACTCTCAGACTTCCCCAGCCAGCAGAGCTTTTGGACAGGGAGGAGGTTGGGGAGGAACCTGGGCCAGTCCTGGAGTCTGGGGAAGGCTCTGACGAGGGCTCTGCGTCGGAGGCAGAGATGGGGCCGTTTGACAGTTATCAGCTGCCTTCGGAGTCGGAGATCAGTGGGGAAGAAGAACAGCTGGAGCCTGTTCCCAGTATGCGCATGCACAGAGCTGCCAGAAGGGAACAGTTAAGGAACAAAGGTCAACTCGGGAGTAAAACCTCAGGTGGACGGTGAATGGAACGAATAAAGAGGAGTGAAAGGGGAGGGGTGTGTTTGCAGGAGACAATTCTGGGAGTTGAAGTCCACAAGTCTTAAAGTGGCCAAGCTTGGGGGACTCCTAGCATAAGGTCACTTTTTTCAGTGCCGTTGTAACTTCAAACATTCACTAAGCAAACCGTTGTAAGTCGAGGACTACCTGTATTCCCTGAACGTCACCTCCTGCCGTTCTTTGTCTGGCTTCCTCATCCACCACTTAAGAGCAACATCACTTAATCCACAACTTAAAAGAGCCCTTCCCGGGGGGATGTGAATCTACTTCTACCAAAGAGACCGTTAAAATCAGGAGGAAGGGTCAGGATGGTACGTGCCGTCATCTCCGACTCCAGGGGACAAACCTTATCCTCCCTCGGCCTGATCAAACAGAACAAAACAAAAAGATAACATAAAATGAAACTCTCAGGATCCATTTCTAAAAGCCAGAGGAAGCTGAATTGTTTTTAGCTAATGACACTGAATGAGGGAATTTAATAAAGAATAAAGGTTTTTAAAAAAGGAAAGCAAAGAAAGACACCAGATTAAGAATGCTGTTGATAGCAAGCGATTTAGGAAACCACTAAATAACACATATCCAAAGTAGAGGTAGTCCTCAACTTACAAAAGTTTGCTTAGTGACTGTTCAAAGTTACAATGGCACTGAAAAAAAAGGAACTTAGTGCTGTTCTTCATACAACTTAGCGCTGTTTTTCAAGCCTCCCTATAGTCCCATGATCAAGATTCAGACACTTGGCAACCGTCTCACATTTGCAGCGTCCAGATTTGCTTAACATCCCGTGTGGCTAACTTTAACGACTGCGGCGATTGGCTTAGCAACGGTGGCGCGAGAAAGGTCGTAAAATCAGGCAAAATCCACTTCACCAATGTTTCACTCAGCAACAAAAATGTTGGGGCTCTATTGCAGTTTGTTAAGTCGAGGATTAACTGTTTTAAAAAGAGGAAAAAAATGCTCGTCTTACAAGCCGGGAGAGCAGCTCCCGCTCAGCCCTTGGTCCACGCTATGCTTACAGCCCCAAGTGGCCCACCTACTCCGGTGCTTTCGTGGCAGATGGGCATCCGTGGACACAGCAGACCGGAAGCCCGCATGGCAGGAGACCATCACCTCTTGAGATGGCCACAGCAATGCTGCCACCCTGGCTTTGCTTCAAGGCTCCGTTTCTGACATCCAGAAGAAGCAGCTTTGAAGGTGCCAGGATGAGGGCCAAGATCTCAGGAACCTTAGGAGTATTGTTGTGGCCCGCCAGACAGTGAGGAGTCTGGGGAAGGCTCTGACGAGGGCTCTGCATCGGAGGCAGAGATGGGGCCAGGGCCGCCTGACAGTTATCAGCTGCCTTCGGAGTCGGAGATCAGTAGGGCAGAAGAACAGCTGGAGCCTGTTCCCAGTGTGTGCATGCACAGAGCTGCCAGAAGAAGGG